ACTGCTTCAGTATTATGAGCAATTTACAACCTCATTAATGGGTACGCCTGCTTAACAGAAATGGCAAACAGTTCCCCAGGTTATGCAACAGAACTTGAAATTACATGTGATTTACTGGAAGGAAGAATGGATATCACAAATAAAATGTGCGCGTGCTCGTCGAGGACAGCCAAATAGAATGCAGTTTGTTGTCAAAAGTCCTGGCAATTATACGAAAGAAGGGGCGGCGTCACTTTTAGTTTCAAAGCTGACGCAGTAATGCTAACGGTGACTACTGGGCAGTCTGTAGAGGTCGCAGGAACTAAGTGAGTGAACCTAAAAGCTACTGTTTGCTAGCGACATATTTTGTGATGTGGTCAGCTAATCGTTGCTGTGCCCATGGTTGTATATAAAATAACTGAGCGGCTGGGAAGGAAAGTTAATGGAGGTGTTTAAACTTTTGGTTTGCTTGACTGGACCTATAGCGAAGTCTAGGTTTAATGTTGACTGAGCATTTCCGAATCCGATGAAAGGAGCTTTGTTGGCTACTGAAAGCTGTGCTTGTAGGCATGATTTTTAGAGCTAATGAAAATAACACGTGAAGGTAGATTAATAAATTAGAAATACTACTAATCGGGCAACCTAGTTTATAAGCACTGCAGTCCGCGGATACAAAACAAAGTTACAGTATTTAAACAGGAGAGTGGTTTGATTGCGTTCAAAGGAATTGACCCAGCGGTTTCTGTTTTAATGTATTAGTCCGAGCAGCTTACAAGCTACATAACCCAAACCCATTCCGGAAAAGCATCAGAGGTGTTTCGACTTACTGGGGATCTTTAGGTTTGCTCATTTCTCGGGCGCATACTGGGTTTGTACCCGTGACCAAAAGAGGCGAACGCCAACAGGTCAGCAGCTAACGAGCTACGTTGGACGGTGCTTGAGATATTGAGTTGCGAGCTAACTGGGATATTGCACCACATATTTTCCGCTACTAAGCAGGGTACTAGTTATGTAGCTGCCAGTGGCTTGCCAAATAGGTCATGAATCCCCGTTACTATATTCATAGCTGTAGATACTAGGCGACGCTGCATTTTATACTACTTATACGCAAGCGTATTTTAGCTTTGATTTTAACACATTCGTCCCAGCAGCTCCTGAGCTAAATGGCACGATCTCCAAGCCCTACGTTCCGTTTAACGAGAGAAAGTCACGGCCACGGTGACTAGTTATTGTCATGGGCAAAAGTAAAATCCTGGGTAGCAGCGCTAGACAGATGGTACTGCATCCAAGTTATTTTCGAAATTATGCAACACATGCACCGTACCTATGGTCCGGAAACTTAAGCTGCTGACTAGTCAGCCTCAGCCTTCAGCGGTCGTGAGTTCGAGCCCTAGTAGGGGACAGAGAGACGGGCCTTAAAACAAGCCCCAATAGGACGGAAACGCATCTGGTGCATTTCCGTATTGGCGTTAACGCTATGTTGCTTGCGCGCTGCTGGGACGAATACACATAAATTACAAAGCTAAGCCTCTTTTTCACAAGCAATATTCCGTTTCAGGCTGACAATAATCAGAAGCAGCGTTTCCGCGAGTAATCTTAATTTCTTACCATCTGCAAATTTTTTCATTTTGTAATCAGATTATGCAATGTTTGAGACATTTCTCTTTAGCAGCAGACGTCCGCGTTCAATATGGGTTGTATAGATTTGGGTCTAGCCTCGAACAACCTAGCACCGTTCATTCCAAGAAATATCCTCCATTACATTTTTGTTACGTTAACGGAAACCTTAACCGTTTTGTGGATACGCTCAAGCAATATTGGCTCGTATGCACCAGACAGCTTATTCCATACTTGACTAAAGTTCAACCTTCTCTGGCTAACCGCAGCCACGAAGGAAAGCGCTGCTGTGGAACATTCCGTGTCGTTTTATTCATAGGTATTTCTTAAGCAAACTCGTCAACCGCGTAGTTCAGCATAGAGTGTTGCCCTTAGTTTGTGCGGAAGGCCTAGATTTCACGGTAATCTACGCAAGCACAATGGTTTAAATAGTTGTTACCTACGGCATTATTAAGCGGCTCTGTAGAGTAACCGTAGCTACAGTTGGTGCAGGCATGTCAACCGTCATCCACAGTCCGCAGATTAACTTATTGTAAATTGATTAACTTAGCTCTGCAGTATTCTAATGTGATGCTCAAAACAATTTTAGATAGAGTGTGGCCTTCGATTTTGGCGATTTTACTGCATACATTCTAGCACTGCGCGCTTCGCTTCAGTCAAAACATAGTACGCTTACGGGCTATAGTTTACAGAGCTGTATTACTGCAGTAATAAAGCTCTGACAGAAGCCACAACTTGGATGGTACTACCAGGAAACAGCAGAAATCCTGTATTGATATGGCATGCAAAGTCATTGTTATGCAGTTGGTCGCAGTGCTTTACATAAGCCACCTCGCCTTTAAGCACTCTATTGTTTGTAGATAGCATTCACTAGTTTCAAATTTTGTTAAATATTAGGCTAGTTAAATGTATAGACAAACATTAACGATATACTCCAATTAAATTGCCGGAAGGTTGGCAGTTTTAGATGCGAAACATTGTGTTCCGTTTACCAATTTTGTCAAGGCAGAAAGAAGACAAATATTACGATATGTTGACCAACCAACTACTCTCCTCCGTTTGCGACTAACGTGAAATAATTGAAATGTTAAGATAGCGAAAAATTAGGCTTCTGTCTGCGTCGTAAATGCCTTAATGCGCATTTAGAAAATAAGAGAAATGAAGCACTGCCTTGAACTACGCTAATATTAAACCTTTGATTCGCAGCTATGCTCAAATTTATTTGACTGTGCGAACTTCTTGCAAATAAGTACGAAACCAGGAAACAGCGGATTCGCTAAAGCAACATTACCCAGATTTAGTATTGGCTATTAGGGTAAACTGTATGGAACCCTTTGTGCGCGTTAAAGTAAATAACGGTGGACTGTAGCTTATGCTAATTTGATCACCTAAGTAGTCAATTTACTTTTGACGCATTAGCGTGATGTTTAGGCGCCTTGCTATGCCGTTTAGTCAAGACAGTACAGTGGGATGAATAACGACATTTTATTATTTACAACGTTTCCGTCGTTCTCAGTAGAACGGAAGCGCGTCCATTGCGCCGGAAGTTACTTATGTAGTTTTAGGACAAGGCTTATATCGCGGAATAAATATAGGCTGCTTTTACTATTCTGGTTAGTAACCCAACTGTACTGACACAACTAGGAATATTACTGTGGCGTCATTATTATCATTCTAGACCACAGCTGAAGCGATGCCAACAGGACAGGGACTATGGGGTGGCCACAGTAATTCTACCACGCTTTTACTGACGACGATGGTGGCGTTTGAAATAGCAATGGACAAGACCGGAGACAGCAAAATCAAAGTTATAGTACTGAAAAATATAGCACAATATGTAACCAAAGCCGTCCACTAGAGTCTGAGTTGATAACATTTAAAGTTAATGTCACTTGCTTCCACTTTCATGTTCATAGAAAATTACCTCACTAACCTTGTCCTTGTGGTGGAAGAATAGGCCTTCTTCTCACCTAAGATGCGCAGCCTCTTCAACGTCCACTTCAATTACAAGTCATTTGCGTCGCAACAGAAAGTTTGTTACAAGTGGTTTACTGGGTATGAGCTAGTAAACAAATTCTTTCCCATTTATTCAGCAACGTTGTAGTTATTCGGATGACCGGCACAAGCTAGTGTTTGCTGTCAGCACAAAGCGTAAACAGTGTTCCAGTTCATAGTAAACCTGATAACTTTTCTCAGGTTGGAAGTACAGTAGGGTTGTAATAGTTTTCCAGTTTACCTTTTGCAGGAAGTGAGGTTGCAATAAAAGTATGGCTGTGAGGTCACGGCCTTTATTATACAGGCAACTAATTTTGCTCATATCGGCGGAGGAAACTTGGTAAATTGGAAACAATAAATTGCCAAACGTGAAAAGTAGGTGCAGCAAGTTGTTACGCTTTTGGTTAGAAAGCTATGCTAAGCATATCATCTAGTTATAAGAGAAGTTAGAAAGTGTTTATACTTTCCGGTAATTACTAAACAAGACCAGCAGGGATCGTGCTGGTAGAAGTCGCTAAAGGTTACTAGATCTAGCAGAGTAAGCTCCCACATGTGGCTACTTTGAGCTATTAAGCAGATCACGTCATCCTACCTGGCTACTTATGGGCTTTATTTGCACCCTACAAGCGATCGAATTCCACCGAAAGATAAAATTAGCCCAACTGAATCTAGAAAGCGACAAATATGCAGCTGGATAACTGAAGGTTCGATCATCTCGAATGGAGCCAGACCCACGCAAACATGCTCCTTATGGTTACTTAGGAGCATGATGAAAACAAAATAACAGTTCACCAAATGTATATTTTTGCATTCAAAAAATTATATAGGAATAACTATTAGCAATGTGATGCAGTTTTGCTTGTATGCTTATGGGAATGCAATTACTGAAAAAAGGATCAAAGCATGTTAAACAACGTCCATATGCTGTCTTACCTTTTACACCCAGTGGTGCAGGAATGGAGAGAAAAATATTAGGATAAGTGGTTGTTCTGTATAAGTGGAGAAAATGTATGTGGCGAGTTCGAAATGCACCTGCACTTGTATCGAATTTTGTTAAGCGAGTGCAGGCGAGAAACTGCCTAGAATGGTAGAAATGGTAGTCAAACCTAGTTATATTATGTAGAAGACGACCTTTGCCTCTACTTTGCGCAACCTCAAAATGAAGGCAAAGCCAAAGCTCAGTCAAGGAGATGAACGGTTATAGAATTACTTGTGCCGGGATCATTCAGAAATACAAGGGGTTCCTAAAAGCTAAGCATTTGATTGTAAGGAGCTGTGGCTGGAATTGTAAAGTTCGCAGACACACATTGCATTCATGAAACGCAAAAGCAGTGTTTTGAGGGAAATGTCTACAACAAACTGAAGTTATTCCAAATGAGTTCAAGCAGCCACCAAGGTACTAATTCAGAATGGTGACCTCAAATCACAGGCCTAGTGGGATTTACAAGCATGTCAAGTTGACGCCAGGTATATAAGGAATAAATGTTTTCTACTCTTTGGAGCGAGGCACACACTTGAATTCTTGTTCATTTGAACCCAAAAAGCAAAGCTGCAAGGTGAGTGTAGAAGTAACCGGTGAACTAATGTATTTTGAACTTTGAAAAGCTTTATACAGCTGACTTGTGGGATAATGACGGCCTCTAGGAAAGGGATGGAACTAGCGATGCGCAAGCAAACGTTAAACAAATAATTTTATAGATTATGCTCGGCGGAGCAAATCACACCGCTGTGAGCACGATCAAGATGTTTTAATAATAGGGTTGAAGCGTAATGGTAAAGGTAAATGAAACGTAGGTGCTCAAAAGGTCTGCTTGTCTTGCACTTTACACCTTGTAGAAAGTTATTGAAATAATATAAACGCAGGATTACACAGAAGACTCAGCATGGGGAAATTAACTAGTTATTCACAAGTTAGAAGGTAGCAAAACACAAGTTGCTTGAGGCCAGGTGCTGTCAAGGCGGCTGTGGGTGAATGGTTGCTGTTTGGTCGCATGACGGAGTGTAGAGGTAACTAGTCGTGTTATAAAAGCAAGTTATGCATTGGACATGAGGTTTAATCCCCAAGGTTTTATCCTGACACGGTGATGTCAATATTTACACAAGCGCCATCGCAAATAACCGGGGTGTTATCCACCATCCGATTGCTACTCCGGATACCGGCAAACAACGGTTCTGTCTCGAAGGTTACTTTTGGGAACCCGCTGTAAAGTGGGATTGCAAAACGCAACCTCTATTTAGGCCTCGGTTTATTTTCCTGCAAACCTTGGTCATTCCGACCGAGAGGCTTATATCCGAAAGGGAAATAGTTTGGTGTTGCTCCGCCCAATACTATTAAACCATGACGGCGGTTTCCTTCTGGTTATGACTAGTCAGGTGGTGACAGCATAAACTGCATTGGAACGCAGAGCCTAGTAGTCCGCGGCTGATGCCCTGTGCACTAGCCTACTGAGATCCGCGAAAAATGCTTGGCACTGCGGAAAGAAAGTTCAAGTTACATTTTGGGAAGCCACTGTGTGGTTACGTTACGACAGGCAACCTCTGTTGAGACCTTGGTTCATATTCAGGCAACCCTCGGTCACTCCGAACAAAAGGACCATATGCGAATAGAAAATATTTGTGTGTTGCTATTCCAAACACTGGCAAACAACGACTGGGGTTTTGCCCTGATTTGAGCTCATCAGTTAGCGATAGCCTGAGCTGGATTAGAACGTAGTGCCAAAATGTAACTATTTAGGTGTTGCTCCCGGGTTTTGCTTAGGCTACCTCTACATTTCGAGTCCAAAACGGGACGAAACCGCGTTCGTATCCGGTCCTCGCAATCAGGTTGAGCTGATATTCTAATCTTGTCTCAGTGGTCGCTTGCTTCCGAATGCTCTGACCCTAAAGGTCAGAGATGGGCAGACTTAACGGTTTGCTCACATCACCTCGAGAACATGCTTGGCTTTTCTACTTCTTCTCAATAGAGCATTTTCCTTTCGCACTCCGTTTGCATTACTTTTTCAATCGGAAGGATATCCCTTCGGACCTGGCTTTAATCTACCTTCGGCTGACTAGTCTCCTGTTACTGACTGCTCCTAGACAACCGTGAGCTTATCGCTCTAGGCACTACATTCCAAATACTCCGTTCCCCTAATCCCGAGGCAGTTCCTTGGCATGCCAACTAGCTTTTCAAATAGCCACTTTCGTCCCGAAAGCTTCTTCTTTTATGACACTCATTACTGTTATTCACACCTTATGCTGGCGGCCTAATTTCATCTTGCTGGCTTATCCGGACTCGTCTGAACGGTCTCCTGCTTTCTAACCCACTTCGGACTTCTGAGACCTAAATGACCTAGGGTCTGCCGACGAAACCTCTTGTAACCCTCAACTGAAATGCATTGTTGGTCAAGGTTCATCCTTATTTATATGCCCCTTCTTCATGTACAAACCTATTGTGCCGATGCGCTCCTTTATTAATTAGACCTAAATTCTACGGATTTCACTCTTTGAGCTGATATTCTAATCTCGTCTTAGTGGTCTCTTTGCTTCCGACTACTGTAACCCTAATGATCAGAGATGGGCAGACTTAACGGTCTGCTCACCTCGTCCCAAAAATATGCCTGGCTTTTCCACTTCCCCTCAATAGAGCGTTTTCCTGTTCGCGCTCTGTTTGCATTACTCTTATAACTGGACGGATAACTCTTCGGGCATGGCTCTATCTACCCTCGGCTGACCATTCCCCTGTTTTTCACTGTTCTTCGACATCCGGGACGTTACTACTCTAGGGTCTACATTCCAAACAATCTGGTCCCTTCATCCCGAGACCTTTCCTTGTCATGCTAACTGGCTTTTCATATAGTCACTTTCGTCCCGAAAGCTTCTTCTTTTATGACACTCATTACTGTTTTTCATACCTTATGCTGGCGGCCTAGCTTCACCTTGCTGACTTATCCGGATTCCTCTGAACGGTCTACTACTTTCTGATTCACTTCGGACATCTGAGATCTAAGTGGCTTAGTTTCTGCCGACGTACCGTCTTATATCCTTCAATTCAAAAGCATGGTTGATCATAATTCATCATTGGTATTATATCCATCTTTCTTCCTTAACCTTTCTCTTTATGCCGATGCTCTCTTTCAGTATGCGGCTTGCTTTCTATGCGCTGGTGCTCTATTCTCGTCTTAATGGTCTCCTCTTTTTTACTACTATGTCATTAATGATTAGGTTTTAACAGACCCAACGGCCTGTTCACATCACTCCGAGGCTAACTGCCGTTTCATTTAACCACTTTTGTCCTAAACTGCTTCTTTTATGATGAAACTCATTACTATATACTTAGCTATATTTGGCGGCCTAGCTTCATCTTGCTGACTTACCTGGTTTTGCCTGAACGGTCTCTTGTTTTCTGACCTCTCGGAATTCTGAGATATAACTGAGCTAGTTACAGCTGACGCAACACTCTGTTACCCTTACCTTAATTACATCACTAGGCATTATTCACCCTTATTTTTATTAACAAGGGTGAATCATCACCTGAAGAAGGTCGGCGGATTTTCCAGTTCCCCTCAATAGAACCTGTTTTACCGACCCCTTTTTCTTCATGTGCTTTCTGTTTTTTCTGTTTTTCTGTGCTTTCTGTGTTCCTTGATCCGTGTTGACAAGTTCCTTCCAGTTTGCCGGTGTAGTGGTGGTCACACGCTTTGCAGTTAATTTTGTACATGACATCATTCTGGCTGCCTTGTTTAACTTGGTCCTTCGGTCTTGAAAGCCGTATTCGCAAAGTACCAGTTGGTTTGTGAGCCACCAAGATTCTATGTGGTCGTAGCAATCTTGACGTTAGTTCAGATACATTCTTGATGTAAGGAAGCGCTACCCATGTATCTATATTTTCCTGCTGTTGTTGCTGCACCCTCTTCTTTAGGCTTCTTCTGACGAAGATTCGTAGATACCCGTTGTTTTGCAATACCCGGTATAGATGGTTCCCATTTTTCCTTCAATTCTGTCGTGCTGCAGTGTGTTACGGCACTAATGAAAAGGCTTTGAATGCAGCTTTTCTTATGGTTCAGTTGATGGTTGCTGTGGTATTTTAATATTTGGGTTGTGTGGGTTTCCTTTCGATATACACATGTCTGAAATTTTTCGTCAGTGTTTCTTTGGACGAGTACATCTAAGAATGGTAACAGGTTGTCTGTTTCGAGTTCAATTGTAAACTTGATATCTTGGAACGTGTTGTTGATTAACTCATGGGTATTCTGTATGGAATCTCGTTTGATGATGACAAACATGTCGTCCACGTACCGGATCCATAATTTTGGTTTGATTAACGGTATGGTGATACTCTCCCGGTTTTGCATCACAGCTTCTGCAATAGGTCCTGAGATGGGCGATCCCATGGGCGTTCCTTTCAGTTGTTGGTTTACTTGCCTTTCAAAGTAAAAATAAGTAGTCATGCAGAGTTCCAAGAGTTGCCAAATGCTCCCCGGCTTGAGGTTTCCTATTGTGTTCGGTTGGTTTCTAGGTAATTCCATCATGGCTTTTTTTGCAGGTTCGTGACTGATCGACTTGAAGAGTGCGATGACACCAAACGACAGCATGATTTCATCTTCTTTTATTGTAACGCACTTCAGTTTGTTGATGAATTGTGCGGCATTGATGAGGCTTTGTTCAGAGCCGGCAATTAGGTGTTTTAATTTCTTCCACCTGCATTTTGCCAATTTGTACGAGGTTGTTCCCAGCAACGAGACCATTGTACGCAATGGGAATCCGTCTTTGTTTACCTCTGGCAGTCGATAGAATCTTGAAATATTTGTATCCTCAGTTTTCATCTTCCATCGCTCCGGTTTTGTAATCACACTCGTTGCTTGTAGTTTCTTCAATGCTGCGTTGATTTGAGTGCTGAGTTTTGTACTGGAATCCTTATCTATAGGATGATAAGTGGTCTTGTCGGAAAGGAGTTGTTTGGCTTTTGCAACGTAATATGGTTTATTCATTGTTACGGTCCTACGTACCTCGTCAGCTGGTAGGATTACAATATTGTTTTCCTTTCGTAGCCTTCTGAGTGCTTTTCGTTCTGCTTTTGCAAGACTATGTGTGCACTTGTTGCGAGTTATCGCAGGGAAAACTGTTTGTCTAATTTGCTGCCGCACTTCTTCTAACAGCCCGCTTGTGATCGAAACCTGTTCCGGATTAGCCAAGTAATCCTTATATTATGCCATTTTTGCTTTAAAGTTTAGTCCATTGATTGGTATATCCTCCTCCGTTTTGCTGAGTTTACGGCTAGACAAGTTTTTGATCCATCCTTCACTGCTGGGGTGGTCAGAATTTCTTGTAAGCTTATGCAACTTGGTATTCAGTGCTGAGTTACGCTGGCTTCTTAGGTTGTTTACTCGACGTTTAATCGCGGATTTAATCTCTGCAAGCTTTTGGGTTCCCATCGCAATAATGTAGTTTGCTCTTCAAGTAGCTTCTAAATGATCCTTCAGGATTCT